GATCGGGGACACGAGGCCTCCCTGTGACAACAGCAGGCAGCTCCAGCTCCTTGGACCAGGGGGGTTTCTCATATAGTCTTACTTCTCCTGAACAGCCTACAAATTAACAAGAGAGACCCTTGATCTCTCCAGCTCTCTTCCATGGTGTGCCACCAGCAAAGCTGCTCACTCAGCATGGGGACATCCCAGCGGGCGGGCTGGCATCGCCGGCGCACTGCTGCCTTCTCTCAGGCAAGTCCTTCTGGAGGGAATGCGAAGCAGCCTCACTGCATGGCCTCCAGCAGCAGAGCAGCACCCACTGTAAAACAGCCTCATCTTGTTATATTTCCCCCAGGCACAAGAAGCAGCACTGTGATCGTCCTCTCCAAGGCAGCCCAGAAACCGTGCCACCACTGGGCACAGCCGGGAAGACAGGGAAGCCCAGTCTTGGGCTCCAAGACTATCCTCCTCCTACGGCAGGCACAGCGGGCATGGGGACACCATGGCGAGGAGCGCCCGTCCCCCATCCCCAGGGCAGGACTGGTCAGCCCAGCCGGGCAGCGTCCTGGCCCTGCGGGGTCGGGGCACAAGGCCAGTTCGACTCTGCCGCAGCAGACAAAGGCCCCTTGTTTCCCGACATGTTCCCAAAAGGAGCCAGAGCTGCTCAGCTCAGGCCAAGCAGGCACCTCCCGGGAGGTGACGATGTGCAACCACTGCCGGCCTTCACGCCTCCGCGGCTCCCCGTGCTCTTTTCCGGTGCTCGGGGGGCGGAGGGGGAAGCTGGCGCAGCCGCAGCAGGGCCAGCTCACGCCACTGTGGCCAGCCCCGGGGCACCATGGGAGTACAGGGACCATCCCCAGGTCCCTAGAGCACCCCTGCTGCCCCCTCAACTCTCTCCCGTCCTGGGCACATCCGTCAGAGGTGGCAGACACTGCTGGTCCCACGGCACGGGGGATGCCAGCACTGTAATTTCTCCTGCAAAGGCAAACAGCTCCTGTGGGAAGAGCTGGCACGTCCCCAGCAAGCAGTGCGGTGAGGAGCAGTGTCCTCCAGCTGAGTAAAATGGTCCCAAAAAACCTGAGCATCATCAGGCATCTCTGCACAGCTACACACTGCTGCGCCACCAGTCTCGCTGCCACCACAGCCACACGAACACCTCAGGTGCTGCCAAGGCCCCTGCCCTCCCTCCTGTGCTGCAGAACTGAAGTGCTGGACGTTTTAAGAGCCAGAAATGTTTGCTGCCTCTTGTTGCCCAGCACCAGCTGCTGCCCCGGCACCTCTGGGAGCACACAGTCAGTGGAGTCTAAATCCATCAAAGGTCCCGCTCCGCTGTTCAGTGTCCTCTACCCGTGCCATTTTATTCCAGCGGAAACCTTATTCCGTGCAAATAAATCACCCCATTACTCATGGGCAGCAGCTTCTTCCGAGCCCTCGCTCTCAGCAGGGCTGCTGAGGGCTTTATCCATCAAAGGTCCCGCTCCGCTGTTCAGTGTCCTCTACCCGTGCCATTTTATTCCAGCGGAAACCTTATTCCGTGCAAATAAATCACCCCATTACTCATGGGCAGCAGCTTCTTCCGAGCCCTCGCTCTCAGCAGGGCTGCTGAGGGCTTT